TATGTAGTCGAATAATTGCAATTGCTCTGAAATAACAACGAAACACTTTGTGGTAATTTAAACTTTATCCGTATTTGTTTCGGTAACAATGGCGTATGGAGTGAACAGGAAATGGTTCTTGCAAAAAGGCAACGTTGTAACGTAACCGCACCTCAGATTCTGTGCTAAGCGCTATGTCACATTAATTTTGGTTAGTTAGTTGGGATCATAGAGGCTTTGCCTATAGTGATAATAGAGTGCCGATGAAGAAAAATATTGAGAAAGCCTATTCGAACCAGCCAGTAAGACCTAGCGATGTTAAAAAACCAACATGGCCGCTGACAGTTGGTCAATTAGACAGGTTTCAGTTTAGATGTAGCATTTTACGGCAGTGTTTGACTAGATGGGAAAACTAGATGTAGAATAATAAGAGTAATAATAATAATAATAATAATAACAGGTCTATAAACAATAAGAAATAAAACACTATAAGATTGTATCACTGTGAAAAAGAGGTTATAAAAATACATTTATACACATTTTAACAAATTCAAATACATTTTTATGGTTAGTCAGTTCAATGGTGCTGCAAAAAACTACAGAAATAAGCAAAATAATACAGTGGTAACATTTTAATTGGCTGTAACTTTTTTGTTTTTACACATATCAAGGTAGAAAGTTGTGCTTGAAAACATTTTTTATTTTTAACCAAATTTGTGTAAGTCAGAAATAAAGCCAAGTGTTCGGATTATTCTGTAGCCGATAAGGGGTCTAAGCAGTGGTGAGGAGAGAATACAAGCCTCTTACATAATACAACTTTATTTGACTACCTACAGCAATCTCAAACTCATATAACACTGTTTGAATCCACAAACTTCAGATTTTCATCATAATATAGACCAAGACCCTAAAACTAAAATAGGTTTATAGATTGGACTTGATGGTGATTTTCTTTCTCTTGGCTATATTTTCTATATCCCTATTCATGATGTTCGCTTCATTTTCACAATGGTCACACTCAAAACTATGATACAAATGTGAATAATAATCAAAAAACTGAGCTTGGCACTGTGCAACCCCACCACCCAGATCCGCCGTATAAATAAAAAATAATAACGGTCCCAATACTTAGCCTTGCGGCATCCCCGATAACATATCTAGAGTAAAACCAAAGCTGTCGCCATAGACTGGTCACTTGCTCACAAGATTTGGACACACATATTCATTTTTCTGTTTTGTATAATCAGAATAAGCTTATCAGCTTCAAGTATCCAAATACTCACGGACCAGTATTGTTGGGAATTGGTACGACCAATTCCTCTTTACAGAAAGCTGGGAAATATCAAATCCGTTAATCCCCATAGCACCAGATGTTATTTCTGATACGGTTCCGGTAATATGAGGAATTTTAATGAATTTAAAAGTAAAATTAGATGCATTACTGGTTTTGTTAGTATTGTAAAAAGTTACGGTTGATGCGCATTTTTTATCAGTATTCTCGAACAAGGAGGAGAAAAAACGATTATCCAAATTTGGTGGCATCTCTTCTGGATGATCATGTCTTGTGGAACTTTGTAAAATAATGGTGAGGTTCTAGACAGGCTGTTTTTTCTCTTGCGACTGAAGCCTTTGTAAAATTGTCTGTAATGTTCCCATGCTTCTCGTGTTTCATGTTCTTTATAACTTGATAGAGCCATATCTCTCTGCGGTCATAATCATTTTTAGGTTTGAAGTTAGTCATGGGGCAATTGGTTTTGTTACATTCCGCAAGTAACTGGCCGATCCACTGAACTTTTGGTGGAATAGGTGCTGTGAAAGTCTGTTGTATTTCTAAGAACTATGTTAAGCCACGCAACCAGATTGTATTGTGTTTTGGGTTCCATAGGATATAATCTCCCTTTATAGGTTTCGAAAGATTCATCCACTGACAAAAAGTTTTTCCATCATGACCAGACAACGGCCCTCGTGAGCTTTGGCGACCACCAGGTCTTCATTTTCACTCTTCTGTTATCCTATTTTTGAGGTCTTCTTTACTGGCAACTCGATGTTTTTTCACTCCTAGCTTTAATTCATTCGGATATTGTGGTGGTATCTGAAGTTGTGGGCGGACATTATGGATCATCCAGTAGGGAAAAAGCGTAGCGGGCCTGAGGCTCTGTAACTTGTATCATAAAACCGTCGTTACATACAGAGGTTACTCCCTAAGCATTTCTCGTCGGTCGGGCACGTATAATTATACTCCACGTGTTAAAAACATGAAACATGATGAAAAAAATCCCAACCTAACCAAAAATCGTTTTTTATTTTGGTTGACTCAAGAATCGTAAACCTAATGGGATTGCCCAATCCCATAAGACATACGTTCGCCAAAATTATCGATCGCACGTGGTCGCTTGTAACGTAAGTGAAGTCCTCTAACGGTGTTTGTGTATTCTGTCGATGCATTTGAAGGCGTATTAAACCGTTGAATTTTGTGTTCTTTGAACGATTACTTCAGTAAAAAAAACTTGGACAAAACAGAGTTTTTGAGCTTTAACAAATACTTTAAAATTGTATGCGCTTGAGTGGCGAGAACTGAGAAAAACAGTATTTTTAACCTTAAACAAAGACTTAAAAGTTCCATGTTCGTGCTGCTTATTAGCGGTGTTATTAGTTAGGACGTAAAGAAATACATTTCTTTTACCTTTTTCAGTGGGATAAGTTAAATCAAAAAATAGTTAAGGTATGTAAGTTCTCGAAAATGTAGTTTTCATCGCTTTCCCAAAGAGTATCCCGAACTATTCGGAACGAGTGGATAGATCGATGTAGAAGAGAGAACAAACTTAATCCAGATGAAAGCTATATCTGCTCAGTTCATTTTACTGAAAATGATTACGAAAGAGACTTACAAAATAAGTTATTAGTTTTTTTTTGTCTTGAGTAACACATTAAATTCACCACAAAATCTAAATTTTAGGTTTACCTTTAAGAAAGATTCTAAAAAAACGGCTATTCCCACCCTATTATTGTTTAACCAGAAGCCACCAACAGAAGCAGGATTATCTCAATCAAAAAGACTTCATTCCAAAAATGTAAAAAAAGAAGCTAATCAGGGTGCTAAGGAAACTACTGAAGATGCTTTGGAGTACATTGCAGGCTACTTAGCTAAAAAACACAAAACAGATATGCCGAATTTAGGAGATTCTACTTAAAACTACCACAGATCATCATTACAGCATTCCCTCTTGGGTACAACAGTTATCATATGGGGGCCTTATAAAGCCTTCTGAACATTTTTGAATAAAAATTAAAAAATGGAACTTTTATTTTGAATCCCATCATGGTGATTCATTTCTAAAAGGGTAAGGGGTGGTAAAAAACTGGGCAAAAAAAATATTTAAAACAGCAAAAGAATTACCATTTAGTTTAGTTAGCGGTTTTTGTAAGCTGAGAAGGATAATTTGTATGAACTTCAGATATGTAAAAGCAAAATATAACGTTAGCTTAAAAAGAAACTCTTTGCAAGATGACACCCACAGAAAAAAACATTAGAAAGTATGATAAAATTGTAAAATAAAGATTTAAGTATATGTAGTAATACGTATTTTTTATATTATGTACATACTATTATTTTTCTACTCCCGTCTGTAAAATACCTAATTACGCACCGATCTAGCGTGCGGGAAGCGTCGCTTTACCACGTCAGTTTCGTTTCCCACGAATCCGAGCCACTTCGGACATTTCCGGGATTTTACCGCACGGATTTGGCAGCAATCGGATATTTTCCAATTCTGACAGTCATGTAAGTGAATGTATTCGAGTTTTGCGAAAATGTACCCAAAAACTGACGGTCGTAGAAAAAGTATAGTATGCAACACGTTCAGTAAACTTTTTAACTCACTCATTTATAAACACTGGCTCCGCTCGTGTCAAATAAACTAATGAGTCAAATGCCGTTTACCGCACTTGTTGTTCTTTAATATATTCAAAAATAGGTATTTCTAGTTTATAAGTATTTGTTGATTTTTGTATATTTAAAATGCCGTAAAACACAAAGTTTTACAAGTAAATCGTTTTGCTCGCTAGTTTTATGTATTTATGTGTAACAATTTTTAATTAATATATGTATTTCAAAATAATACATATAAACCAAACAAACTAATGTTGACATTAAATGAAAATAACTAGTGATTATCCAAACAAAATGCTACTCAAAATACTCCATCAAAACTCTGCTCAGTTTCAGATTATTTCCATGCATTTACATAGTAAACGTGCCAATACAGGACTTCACCTACGTCACAGCCAGCGAGAGTTTTCGCATTGCACTTGCGGACAGGTTTGGCGGATTAGGCAATCCTATTTGTTTTACGATTCTTGGGTTGACTGATGTTTGTTAAGATCGTTTTTGCACATTTAATTTAATTAAAATTACATACTGTATAGTTGAATGTGATTTTTTAAATCATTTTACCAATATCTCTAAAGGATTCTTTTCTCTTTCCATAAATCTACTATGATTTTTCGAAGCGCAATTGGCATTTTGCTTTTGCTTTTACTTCAAAACCGCCGACTTAGCAGTGGCGTCAAAAATAAACAAGTATAACCATTTGTTTAAGCGAAATTCGATACAAGCTGACTTGATAAAATATGCAGTTCTGAATAGTGATTTTTTGAAGTGTATGGGGACTAATTTGACATAGTTTCTTGCTTCTAAAACAAAAAAATTTTTTATCGTTCAAATGACTTTTATTTTATTTTTATTACTCATCACGTGTTTTTTATATTTTTCTTTACATTTCTTACATTACCTCTTCTTTTAGGTCTCGGTAAAATCAAACTGAGTTGCTTTAATATTTCAAAAAATTGCTTTTCTAGGTCTGACGATTCGGGCAAAACATTGACTTTCGGGTTCAATCCTTATAGGTTTGTTTTATTCTAATTACTAGAAACCGTAACGGAAAAAACTTGGCAACGAAAGCCACTTCTGTTCGATTTCTCGAAAACCTCGCATTTCATGAATGAAAAGGTGCGTCACTCACCTGCTGTTCGCAATAAAACCAAAGAACTGACCCTTATTCGATCAAAAACAACCCGCAACGTAATGTTTATCTTGCGTTATTGATTTGGTTCGCGTGTTTTGACAGTCGTCGTCGTCGCCGTATAAGAACGCCTACTACGATCCCGCTCGCAGAACGCTTCGTCCGCTACTAACCGCCTACCGAGTTGAGCAAAACAAATACGAATGAAACCCGCATATATACCGGGTCTGTACCGACACGTTGCCAGGTGTACTATTTATAAATTTCGTTCGATTGGTTAACCCGCGACCTGACACGGATTATTCGGGAAAAGAGCACTGCAGCCGACCCTGACTTTTTTTACCCGTTTTTATCGGCCGCTGTGGCCTACTATGCGAAATTCCCCCAGAGCTCAGCGGAACTAAATGTCAACGTATGCCGTTGAAATTTTTAATTTTGGGTTCTTCCTACAAAAGACAATTGATTGAAGCGGCCATTTTGAACAAATCAAATGTCAACTAGTGGTCAATATCAATAGGAAGAAATGATTAATACATTGCCGTCTAAAATAATTATAAAAAAAATGGACGGATAGATGCTATGAATAATGCGTAACAATTGGAGTACCCCACGACTTATCTACGCACACAATTGAAAAAATTATTCATATCGCGTTTATTATCGATGCTAATTTTGATCGTGATTTTAATACGCGGGCTTTTTATCTCATTATGAAGTGCCTATTGAGATTTTTGACGCACATTAATGAAATAAATCTTCTTGTCGATTTAAAGCATATGTGTTGGATGTAGGTGGCGCTGAATAGATAGTGTCACGACCCTATAGCTATTAGATAATACAGTGGGCCCTTATTACTGTAAAAATTGATGCGCCGCAGGCCGCATTTCCATTTATGTAGAGAAGGGAACGATGTTCCCCGCTCTACATTTCGCCCACTAACCTGCACTTTGTGCCATTTTCTTTTAAACTGCGCTTTCCATACACTTAAGTCGTTTTCAAAAAACATTTAATAAGATCTGGGCATACTTTGATAAAATAATGCAGTAAAAATACGGCATCCAAACTTATTGTTGGTTGTTAAATGCTGCAAGGTAATTGGTTAAAAATCTTCCCAACATTTTTTTCATAATTGCTTCATATGTTCCTGTGCCATAGGTAACCAGGGCCTCTACATACTCCATTCGGAGCAGTTACGTCACGTATAGTGATGTAAACAAAAATAATGCTTACGTCTTAGGTATGTTACTACTATAACCATGAATAACGACTTCAAAACTGACAAATAAAATTCCTTTGTCAGTTTACGGCATTCAATAATGAACAAGATAAAGATGTCATGCTATGACGTTATACGCATTTGCACTGCCTGGTCTTTATCTCTGGTAGTTGTATGGTCCCGACCGTATTATTCTCTTGTCAAAGCAATTTTGGTTAGTTCTTGAACGTCTTAATATTTTTCACCGTCGCTTCAAAATTAATTCTATTATCGACATAGATAGCCTCTTGCCATATACAGGCAGACTTTATCTACGTCGATAAAGCACTTTTGATGCCACAATCAAAAATATTGAGACGTTGATTGAATCATTTGAAAAATTGCTTTTAAATTATTAAAGTAATTCTTTATTTCTATGGTCTGAATTTTAAATTAGCCTACGCCGTGGAATACCATAGAATAACGTATAGAAAAATTTAAACTTACCAACTTGATGTTGACAGTTCGTTAAATGGACTGTTTTCTGTACGAATAGTGCATTTTTTAACAATATTTTGTCAAAATATTCAGATATCAAATTTTCAGCAAAAAAAAAAAAAAAACAGTTGTGTGTGGAGATCGTTATTTGGAAAGAAAATTGCGCAAAATGCAGGTATTTTGGGCCCTCTCAGAACTCAACTGTGGTTTTAAGGTGAAGTTGTGTGTAACGTCGCTATAAATATGCTGGAAGGCAAATAAAATGCAGTGGATTAATTACTAACCTTGAATTTATTAAATACAGCACTAATTAACGTTTTCTTTTATGATGCACCTTCCTAGTGCGTTTCACGAAGTTTGAGCCCTTGAACCCGTGCGAAGTGTTCTTCACCTTTCGCGCATGTTTTGCTGGTTGAAACAACGGAATTTGCCGTTGCTTTCTTGTAACTGCCGCCTGCGTCGAATCCCTGACAGCGTCGATTGCGCTGCCCTTGTTCTGAGTCATTCCGGAAATTGGGAAACTTTCTTGGCCCGACACGACGGAAAATTTACCCGTAAAACCTTTAGGAAAAATTGGTTTGGACAACAAAGACGAGAGGTGTTTCCTTTTCATCTCCGCCCCTTTCCTTTGGTGTCGTGTCTCGTCTAAATCATATTTTTTCAATCTGAGTGGGGGGTTAAGTGATTTACATGGCTAAAATATTGGGTTTAAATTGAAAATTGGAAAAAAAAGGATACATTCCGTCGACTACTATATCCATATCGTGTGCCGCTTTTTGAAGCCATCCTTCTTCCGAATTCGCCTTGCGAACTTGAAGCTGTATTTTGTCCAACTCCCGCGCGATGTTGACGATTTTTTTAACCGCGTTCAAGTATTTGTCCTCCACGGGGAAGAGTGGCAAATCGTTCTCTATGGTATGATCGTTATGCGCATTTAATACTTTTTTTCACAATTATAATCCGCCATTTTAAAAATCAATGCACCCAAAAAATTGGTTCATATTGTATTGTATAGGCTAGGGATAATATGAAAGCAGCTGTGGATGTAAATAATGGCAATAATTTATTATTATTGATTATTACTGAATATAAATCGAACCCATCGGAACCATCAACGAATAGGTTTAATGGCTAGTAACTAGTAAATATTTCGTTTGATGGTACGAAATTTGATAATCCGATAATCCGTTATTATTTTTAATTTGTTAAATTGTGTTTTTTACGTAACGGTCGTAGAAAAAGTATAGTATGCAACACGTTTGGTAATAGTATATTATGCAACGAGTGCGGTAAACGGCATTTGACTCAAGCGGAGCGAGTGTTTAATTAAACGAGTGAGTTAAAAAGTTTACCGAACGTGTTGCATACTATACTTTTCCTGCGACCGTTAGTTTTTGGGTGCATTTTCGTAAAACAATACGAATACCGACATTACCGTCAGAATTGACAAATGTCAACATTCAAAGCGTGGGAAATATCTCCGAAAACATCCGATTGCTCCCAAACCCGTGCGGTAAAATCCCGGAAATGTCCGAAGTGACTCGGATTCGTGGGAAACGAAACTGACGTGGTAAAGTAACGCTTCCCGCACGCTAGATCGGTGGATAATTAGGTATTTTACAGACGGGAGTAGGAGTTTTCGGTCAAATTGTTGTTTTCGATTTTAGTGAATAGACGGTGGCTTTTAATGATATAAATGTCACGCGGTTTCTCTGTTTTCCCTATACACACCGGTAATCAGGTCGGATGGGTCTGATGGTGCGCGTGGAAGCGAGGGGGGCAGCGTTTTTATAGTACTGATTAAAAAAAAGTTTATCGACGAATTGGTCGACCGGTGATCAACACGAATCATTAATCCCCCATGTATTAATGTTAAACATGTTGAACTGTAATGGTAACTGGCCGAATGATCTTAGCAGTCTTGGCCAATAGAAGTAAAGACGAAGAAGAAGAACCCTAGAATTAATGACAGCATTTCATCGATAAAAGTACTGGACTAAACAGTCCCCTGTGGGACTTCCAAGGTCACTTTCGTTGGTTCACTGACATCACTCATCACTCCAAAGTGCTGCATTCTATCTGATAGCCAGCTAGTAAAAACTGCCAACACATCCCCAGGAACCCCATATCGAATTTTTGATGGTTAAATGTGTCAAATGCCTTGGCCAAGTCTAAAAAGCCACCAATTAGGGCAAAAATTGGGTCAACTGTGCTTTTTCCCTTTTTGAAAGCCCATACTCATGGTTATGGAGAGAGAGAGAGAATATGTTTGCAAATGTGTTAATGAGGCTGATAGGCCTAGAGTTGTTAATTTTAGCCTTGTCACCAGATTTGTGTTAAGTATCAACATGTGTTATATGCTTTAATGGAGAAAAAATATGCTGAATATCTGCTTGATTAATTGACAATAACAAATTAATAATTAATAAATATACTTACTAGATAGATTTTCTTACCTTTACCGAGTGTACGGCAGAGTTTAATATAATTCTGGAATTCGTTCGGCTCCATAATCAGCACTGTGATGCCCTGCTTGGCAGCCCGAGCCGTTCGGCCTGACCTGTGGACGTAACTTTCGCTGGTCCTCGGGGTTTGATAATGCAAGACGTGGTCAATTTTCGGTATGTCCAGACCCCTTGCCGCCACATCGGTGGCTACCAGGATACTATTCTCCGTATCCCTAAACCTAAAATCCGCATGTTCCCCGAAAATTTGTTTAAAAACTCCACCCAGCTTACTTGTCGAGATTTTTCAATCTCTGCCTTTGCTGCATGTTCGCGTGCAGAGGCAGACACCTGCATTCCAGCAAATTTAACAGGTTGGACAACCTTTTCACGCATCCAATCGAATTGCAGAAAATCAAAGTGCGACCAGGATGTCGGCGCAAAAAATAATAGACGTAGTAGTCTTTTTCATGCAATGCACAGCTTATTCTACATTCAGTTAAGGTTTCAGATGTCCCTAAAAGAAACGAAAATTTATACAGGATGTTAGCTAATTACTTGTTCAAACTTTAAATTTTGACATTCCATTAACGTCCCTTATCTGTACAAACCTTTGCCTTCGGAAATATCCACTACTTTAGGTTTGGTCACCCCCAAAGAATCCATAATTTTCTGAAGCTTTTGTTCTGGCGTCATGCTTCCGATTTTCCTGAACTTCTTCTTAGTCAGATGTTTGGGTAAATCGTGCACCAATGTAAGAGTGGCGGAGAAGACAAAGTTTTGCCGCGCCTTCCTTTTATCATCGTCCAAATTGATTTTCTCCAACAAGCTGTGCAACTCCTGGAAATGGTCTCGTTCGAGCATACGGTCTGTCTCATCGATAGCTAAAAATCTTTAGAGAAATATGTATTATTTTCAGAAATTGTATTGTGTTGTACTGTACTTGATGCTGGCAACTTTTAATAAATGGGGATTTCCTTGTTGAATTAATTCCCACAAACGACCTGGGGTAGCGACAACTACCTCAGGTTCCTTGCCAAGGATCCTCTCCTGTTTTTCCGCTGCCATTCCTCCAACGACTACAGCAATTTGAATTTTGGTATACTTGGCTATACTGGAAAGGTGATTTTTTATCTGCATCGCAAGTTCTCTAGTGGGAGTTAATATAAGAGCATAGAGGGGCTTAACCGGGTCATTTACTGGACTTTTGCCCTGTTCTTTTAGTTTCAGTATTCCGGTCAATATTGGGATTCCAAATGCTAACGTTTTTCCACTACCCGTTTGAGCAGCTCCTAAAATATCTCTCCTTCCTTGAAGTTAAATTAATAATTATCACCAACATATGCAAGGCAAATTATCGGTTACCCAATATTGCAGCGGGTAAAGTTTTTAACTGAATTTCCGTTGGATATACAAAACCTTGTTCCTTCAATGCTCTGAGTATGGACTCTGGAAGGGAAAAGCTAGTCCAGATATTCTCTGCTTCAGAGTTTTCCACGCAAGTTTCATCAGAATTGAGGGTGCTGCCACTTCTAGAAGGTGATATGGTTTCGGCATTTATATTTTCAACCTTTTTCTTTTTGGGAACTGAAGAAGCTTTAGATTTTGCCCTCTATAACACTTAAATTTAAAGCAAGCGTTCGAACTATAGCAAAATATATATCAAACCTTTTTTGCAGGTACAACATTTATGAGTTCGTAATCGGTACATTCTTCGATTCCAATGAGATCCTGCGGCACTCCCGCCCCAAAAAATGCTTCGTCAAGTTGGACAGGTTTCCAGTTAGTTTCCGATGCCATACTTTAAACAAAATAAACATTTACCGCATAGGTTATGTAGCATTTCTAACCTCAAAGCATGGAAAATAAACTGGTCCTTGAGTGATATTCTTCTTCTTGCGCTTGGTACCTTTGTTATTTTATATATATCTTTTAAATAAACGTATATTACTTCCTCCCATTCAAATTGAATTCATTTGTAATCACCTTGCAACAACTCTCATAATAAAAACTCATATCAAAGGAAATTAGAAAATTTACTGTCAGAAACGCCATTACCGTTGAAAATATGTTTTTGTATTCTATGAACTTTTACAAACACACTGTAATACGCCTACACATTCCTATACTGAGCCTGACAAATCGAAGATTTCTTAGAAACCGATTTTTAATCGAAGACGAGCTATATATTTTCGTAGGAGTAACGAGGCCAATGCTTAATTGAATTTTGATTGAGCCTTTTAACATGTTACGGGGAATTAAGTAACTCGTCAAATCAATTCTTTAAGTAAGTTAACGATTTCTGGTTTGAACCTGTGACTGTATTGGCTAGAGTATACTTTTTCTGTCTTCTTGTAATGGTTGCATTTATCATCTTGGTTATTAACAAGTGTTTATTAAATTGAGTATCGAATTTTGTTTGTGCTTTCAGTCATGCAAGGACAGGAAGGCCTCTCTGGGTCGTCGGACCACAGATTGGCACTCATTCACGAAATGAGTGCCCATAACTTTGATCTGATTAGATTTGCTTCCTATAGAACAGCTACAAAGTTAAGGTTTATTCAGAAGAAAGTTAGTTGTAAGTAGAATCGCTGTTTGGTGATTATTAACCATGACATATATTTTCTTAATTATTAAATCATATGCTAATATTTTTAGTACATTCTGTTGATATTTGGAATGTCATTGAAGCATTTAGAGAACAGGGCCTGCACGCTTTAGAAGCGTCGTCTGAATTAAGCGTTGCAAGGCTTGAGACTTTGTTGTGTTCTCTTTACCATAGTTTAAATAAGAGAGCCCCTCCGACTCAGCAGGCTCACGTTGACGTATGTTCGAGTCTGCTACTCAATTGGTTGTTAGCAGCTTATGCCACTGTGTAAGTAGCTGGGGAATATTAAATGATATTTCAAATATAACAGCCAATAATTTTAGTGATAATGTTGGCAAAATTAGAGTATTCTCCATAAAGGTGGCACTGGCCACACTTTGCGCTGGTAAGCTGATGGACAAATTAAGATGTAAGTACTATAAAAAATTAAATAATAAGTTTAGACTTTGGAACAATTTTTTTTTTAGACATTTTTTCTCAAATATCAGATAGTAATGGATTATTGATTTCGTGGAGGTTTAATGAATATCTTCAAGAAGTTCTTGCCCTTCCTGCCGCCGTGTACGAGTCTCCCACATTTAGCTATGCGGATACCTTGGCGGGCAGTATATTTAACCCGGTAATAAATTTTACCTTTGAATTCCCTCCATTCCATTAATGCAAAAAATTAATGTGATTTTTATTTTGTAGAACGCCAAAGTCACAGTAAATGATTTTTTGGATATGATGATGTCCGACCCGGGGCCACCTTGCCTGGTGTGGCTCCCGTTACTCCACAGAATCGGCAGTGTGGAAAATGGTACAGCCTTGTCTACTAAACTCCCGAGTCGGTCAAAAATAAGTTGGTTTCAGTGGTCCATCCTGTGCAGTGCGATGCTTGTCAACGGGAAAACTTTACAGGCTTCCGCTACCGTTGTCAAAAGTGTCCCCATTACAATCTTTGCCAGGACTGTTTTTGGCGGGGGAGAGTTTCCGTGCCTCACACCTTGGAGCACCAAGTGAAAGAGTACGCGTCTTTCGTAAGTTCGTCGAGCCAAGATTTGAAAAGCGCTCTAATATTGTCTTGTAGTCGCCGAGCAAGACTATTGGACAGTCTTTGAGGAAGTCCTTTAGGTGCGTGCCCGACAAGCAACGGAATAACTTGCCCAGGTTTCCCGAACAGCCGGAAAAGACCCTTAACCTTTCCCACATAGTGTGAGTTACCGCCTTGCCTGCATAAAACAGTCAAATCCACAGGGGAAATCTTTCAGGCCACCGTCTCCCATTCCTTCGCATAATGGGTTTCCTGAAAATCAGTTCAGTGCCGGTTTCGATGGGATGGGCAGTCTGGATAGCAGATCGACCGCACGAAGGTATTCACACTACTTACTCCACAAAAAAATCTGTTTAGTTTTATAATTTTTTAACTGATCTTTTCGAGTATCATCAATTATATATGAGCATCGACATTTTGATTAAAAGCATTGTTGATACTACTTACTATCTATTTTTGAATCAAATACACGTCTTGATCACATTTTCATTAACAAAAACACTAAAAACACTCAACTTGGATTTTAAGTCTTTCATTCTTGATACTAATATAACTGATCATATGCCAATAATGACTAATATTGACAGTGACTTTATTATAGAAAACACCGACGATAATACAGTCATTAGAGCTAGACTTGACTTAAATAAGTTTAAATTATTGCTGCTTAATCAGAATTGGTCACAAATCATTAATGATAGCTACTTCCAACTTTATTTATTAAAAAAATTAAAAAATGAATTACAGTTGGGGTAATAAATTCAATTAAGCATATGGACAAAATCAAAAAGAAGCTTCGTTTAAATTATTCTGCCAAACTAGAAAATGAATACACAAAATATATCTTAACCATATAAATAAATTAAAAAATAAGTTGAAAAATGATCACTTTGGTGAACAGATTGGGACCAATAAAAAAAACATGAAAAAATATACGAAATAATTAACTAGGCAACATATGAGAGATCTAGTAAGAACAATAATATAGCTATATGTGATGATAATGGTGATGGCTAACTACACTAATCATTATTTCATAAACATTGGAGTAAAAATGGAGAATATTATACCAACTCAAGGGCAAGCACACAAGCTGGGCAAGGATGTTATAGAATCAATGTAAATATTATTTAACCAGAAGAGATCAAAAATATTACTAATTCTAGAAAACATATTCAAACATGTAAATCCTTTTTATGGCATAACAGTGATAGATGGCAATCTCCATTTGAATGACCATACTGTACGTATATTTGTTGTAATAGACTTAAATGTTGGGAGTATTATTTGCACACTATTGTACGTACTATGCAATGAAATTGTGTATAATAGAATATTATATCTTTTTTTTAAAATTTCATCATTTATGTGCCACTTATTGTGAGATATTGTACTTGTTGCGTTTTGTTTGTTTTTTTTCATGTAAAAAACTTTGCAATAAAAATACATCTAAATAAAAAATAAATAAAATAAAATTATGAAAATTTTCAAAATAAATCTTACTTTGTACGGTATTGTCTGTTGCATAGTTTGGACAGTGCAAGGGACGACGAACATCGTCTTATAGCCAGGTACGCTGCCAAGCTAGCACAGGAAGCCCGGACCGGAATGGTAAGCCCTTGAATCGACCTTCTCTGTAGGGAAATCCTATATAGTGACTAAATAAATTGAATACAGAAGGCTTAGGTGTCTATTAACGGAGCGACAGTGTCCATAATTCTATCTACATTTATTTATTTTTTTTAATAATTTAAGAAAAATCTTGCTGTATTGGTAGCACAACTAAGACCTCTCTATCCAATTTATAAACTATATGGCAAAACCGAACACATTGAACTACAGCACGTAATATTTCTTATTATTAATCAAACAATTATTTATTTATGCCGCCGGGTTATGAACTTTTCGGCCTGTTTGGAAAAAAAAGTTGGGTCGAAAATCGTTTTCAGTAGAATAGGATCGTTTCCATGCGCTATTTATAAGTTCGAGGACGTTTTCTTTGTCACTTTGTCAAGAAGTTAAAACTAAAGTCAAAGGTAGTTCCAGTTCCACACGGATTTTAAACCAAAATTTGCAATAAAAAATTCTTTTGAATTAACAAAATTAACAATATCAAAATCCTTTTTAACGCAACACTATTGTCTTTTGATGTTCAAAACTTATTTCCCAGTATTCCACCTATGGATGTGATTTAGTACATTTCACCCTAACTCGGAAACAGGTTAACCCATTGGCGAACCAAGATTTATTAGATTGCTTAATAGTATCTTTAGACCAAAATTATTTTGAATTTAATGGACAGAATTACATCTCTAAGGAAGGTTTGATTATGGAAACCCACTTAGTCCTTTGTTAGCCGAGATTTTTATGGATAATTTGGCAAAATATGATACTAGAACATCCTTTAAGTAAAAGTTTTTTATGGTGGTATAGTTACGTGGATGATATCTTTGCTTGCTTTATTGGAACGGACAGACAGTTGAATTCTTTTTTAAATTACATTAACTCATTACATAATATTATAAAATTCACTATCGAGATTGAACAGGATAACTTAATTTTTTAGACTTAACTATTACGAAAACGCACAAGAAATTAGATTTTTCCATTTATCATAAACCTTCACACACGGACACAGTCGTACATAACAGCTCAAATCACCCTTATACACACAAAATGGCTGCATTTCACTCTGTTAGACGCAGACTTCTTAATACGCCACTATCAACAGAAAATTACAACAAAGAACTTAATATCATTAAACAAATTGCACTGAACAACGGCTACAATCCGTCCATTATCGGTAAAATTATAAATAAAAAACAAATACAGAGAACAGTAAACTCTATTTAGATACTCTATATACAAAGGAGAACCTAGTGAAAAAGTTTCAAAACATTTGTCAAAATGTGGTTTGAAAATAGCTTTCAGAACTAACAACACAATAGGAAAATTTTTAAGAAACAATAAAACGAAATGTCCAAAATCTCAAAAATCAGGTGTCTACAGGTTGAAATGCGGATCTTGTCCTAAAATTTATATTGGCTAAACAGGTAGATTAATGAACATAAAAAAGCGTTTAAAAACAATAGTCTAAATTCTAATTATGCTACACACTTAAACACAGAAAAACGCATTTTTGACGACAATTTTGATATTTTACATACAGCCACAAAAAGTAGAAAATTAAATTTATTGGAAGCCATGGAGATTAACAAAACATTAATTAAGGTTTTATTGAAAATATATAATGTCGTGAAAATCTGAACTTTTGGTTCTTATTTATTTTGTTAAATGGATTTTCATCAAGTAAAAGCTACCTCAGTTCAATTTTCATCAAAATAATTTTATTTACGCATCTTATATTTGTAATCGTTATATTTCTCATTACAGCAATATTAAGCATTAAAGAGCATAAAAAATGCATAAAATCTTTTTAGAATATATGCATCGAAATGTATGAAAAATTATTTATTATTATTTATCATTTGTTAATGTTATTATAAATAAAGCCAAAACTGTTTCTTTATAATTAAACCCCATGTCTTATAATCTTATAATTTTTTATCTATACCAGATACTTATTTGAACAAATATAACTGAGACAAAAAAGAATCGCATTATTTTTTTTTACTAATACTCAAAAAGCAGTTTAGTAACAAAAAATAATACGTTATAAAATTTTTATAAAATTTGACACATAATTAATATATATATTTGTTAAAAGATGATGATGATAATAATAATAATAATTATTTATTTATTTTTGCATCGGTTGTTCTATTTTACAAATTTATTTCAAATATTAATAACCTTATGGCAAACTTGAACTAGGATATGATAACAAAAAGAACAGTAAAACACTACATATCCAGATGACACTATTTGCATTGAAAATTATGATTGTTAAAGTTATTTTACATAAAGCCAGAGTAAAGCAAATAACCTTCAACATAAATGTTCTTTTAATAAAGGCGAAATCGTCATATTCTTATAAAATAAAAACATATTTGCCTCAAGCTTTGTATAATTTTTTTCCAAAAAACGCCATATTTTTGCTCTATCGCGTCTTTTTTTTGTAGCGCTCTTTATCTTAAAAATGTTATTTTATAACGTGAATATATATATATATATATATATATATATATATATATATATATATATATATATATATATATATATATATATATATATATATATATATATATATATATATATATATATATATATATATATATATATATATATATATATATATATATATATATATATATATATATATATATATATATATATATATATATATATATATATATATATATATATATATATATATATATATATATATATATATATATATATATATATATTCTCACGTATTGATTCACGGATGGAAAAATGTGATGACACTATATTCCGGGATATCATCCGTTCGCTCGTTGAACTCCGACTGGAATCCTGCATCCGACTGGAATCCTGCAAATCTTGCATCCGACTGGAATCCTGCAGACGTTTCGCCAAAATCTCACTTGGCATCTTCAATGCTCGCGCTCCGAAAACACTTCGAACACTGGGAGGTTATCGGCGGTGCGTGCGGTATTTATACTCTGCGCCGGAGATGGTAACGGTGCTGCTTGTGCGTGGGGGGAGGTGGCTCCGCCCCCTGAATTGTCGCGTTGTTAATTTCGCCCGATCGTATTTGCGATGTCCCCGTTGGCTGCTGCGCATCGCTCTGCTGTTTGATTATCGTTCTCCACGTGTTGGATAAATGCAGAGCGTCGTCTCTCGTATTGAGGTGTCCGGACTTTTCTATTTCGATGGCCTCTCGTATAATCCTAGTCCTAAAATCAGGAATATTAGCTATTTGTTTGCAAGTGCCGAAATCAATTTTATGGCCTGTCTGATGTTGGTGCTGAAACAAAGCAGATGTTGTTTGTTTGTTTCTTATGGCTAAACGATGTTCCTCGAGCCTGGCTGAAATCCTTCTGTTGGTCTGTCCCACATACGTCAGGCTGCACGATCCGCATGCTACACTGTATACTCCTTGGTTTTCCAGAGTAATTTTTTGTTTTGGGTTTCTTAGTATTGCTCCGATGGTATGTATAGGTTTGTATGCCGTTGATATGTCGTGTTTCCGTAATATTCGGCCGATTTTGTCAGTAACCCCCTTGATGTATGGCAGGACAGCGATCGATCTTCGTTGGGTCTCGTCCTGCACTCTCTGCTGCGGCTGTTGTTGTTTACTGATTGCCTTGCTGATGGTGCGCCTTTGGTATCCGTTTTGTCGAAGACAGGTACTAATTTTCTTCATTTTCTTTATCTCTGTTCCTCTCGTTTGTGAGCCTGAAGGACCGAGCAATTAATGTATTTGCCACTGCCTGTATCTGTGATGGGTGGTGATGAGATTTAGCGTTCAGATATCTATTAGTGTGTGTTGGTTTTCTGTAGACAGTGTGTTCCAAGTGTCCATCTTCGGTCCTTGTGATGTGCACATCTAAAAAGGGCAGACTGTTATCCTATTCAAGTTCTATTGTAAATTGAATCCTTGGGTGAATGGAATTCAGATGATCTAGGAGTTTCAAAAGCTCCTCCTTGCCAAAAGGCCATACAACAAATATGTCATCAACGTATCTTGTCCATAGTTTTGGCTTCAGATTTGCCTTCTCTATTGCTTTCTTTTCGAAGTAAATCATGAAGAGGTTGGCAATCACAGGTGAGAGAGATGATCCCATTGCTGCTCCATCTATTTGTCGGTAAATTTTCCCGTTGTGCATAAAGTAAGCGTTTTTCAGGCAATGTCCTGACAGATCCATTATGTATGGCGGAAGATCTTCGTTTTCTTCTATAAGCAAGAGTGCCTCTTCTACTGGAATACTCGGGTAGAGGGATTTGACATCGAAACTTGCCATAATGTCGTCCTTGTCCATCCTGAGAGAACCTAAAATCTGAGTGAAATGTTCTGAGTTTTTAACATAGGAATCTGCCTTTTCCACTATAGGCTGAAGTGCACTGGCCAGATGTTTTTCCAGCTTGCATAATGGTGAGTTAAAGGCGCTTACGATTGGACGCAGGGGAACCCCGTCCTTATGGATCTTTGGGAGCCCGTAGAATTTTGGGCAACGACTCGATTTTTCCCTCGGAATAAGTTTCTTCTTTGTATCCTCGTTTATTGATGAATCGAGAATTTTGGACTTAGTTGTTTTTTCAAATATGTCGTGGGATCTCTGGTGACTAGTTTGTATATTGGGTCGTTCAAAATATCCTCCAATTTTGCATTATAATCCGACGTATTCATGACGACAGTGGCATTTCCTTTGTCTGCTGGCATTATTAGAATGTTTTCGTTTTTGTTTAGATTCCTTAAGGCTTGCATTTCTTCTCTGCTTAAGTTTGGTTGCGGTGGTTTTGACTGTCTTAAGACTCTGGCGACATCTTGCCTAATTAACTCCGCATCTTGTTCGTCTATGGTGGAGAGACTTGCTTCGACGTTGGAAACGATCTCTTCGACGGGTACTCTTTTTGGAGCTATTGCGTAGTTAAATCCTTTATTCAGTACGCTGACTTCTGTATCGGAAAGATGGTATGCTGAAATATTATGAACTGTACTGCTT